TTTCCAGCCAGTTGGCCCACACCATGTACAGGTGGCACAGGTTCTTTTGGGCCCTTTCTGAAGACAGGAGTGACATTTTATTTCCTCCAGTCCTCAGGAACTTCAGGTTGTCACAGTTATTCAAATGTGTTCAACACAATGTCCACATACTCATCTGCAAGGTAGGTCAGGCTGCATCCTGAACTTTATTCTCTGATGTCCCTGGTTGTACGTTTTGGTAATTGGCACATTAAATGTTGGCCTTCAATTTCAGTTAGTACTATATCTTATTTGTATTCAGTTGAATCATTATGAAGAAAAGATGATCGCTCCTCTGCCTGGTAACAAAAGTCTTAGGGCCTTTAATTCTATTTTCTATGCTGCTGCACAGGGACATTGAAACAACACAAGTTCCTGTGTGTGCCATGTCTTAAACCATGTCTAAGGCAGAGAAGAAAAGCAAAATGCCAACCACCAGCAGTATCAAATGAGATTTATAATATTAGCTGAGCTCTGTAACAAAAAATTATTTCTTACACTTAAAAAAAAAAAAATATCCACAACAAACTTGCTCTGTAAATCAAACCCTTAACATTTCTCATTTGGCATCTTAACACCTTATCACTGTATCCCACCAGCAAAACAGTCATTTCTTCTAACTTCTAAGCAAGCAAAAAGATGTCCAAAGTAATTTAAGTATCTTGCCATTTTCAGAAGTTTGCCCAAAGTTGTCAGGCCCCTATAGCAACTACCCAATAGGCTGAGGATGGCTTGGATCCACTTGCCCATAGGAAAGCAGCTCTCAGCTGCATATCTCACCCAGTGTAGCAAATGGGCTGAAATGCCAATAAATGGCAAATTTCCTCATCAGAGCTGCAGCACAGTGCACAAGCCTACTTCATTCTGATCGAACAGGACACAAGCCAGGAGGAAACAAGAACACTTGGGAGTATTTAAGGACTTACTGATGTTAGTCTAATGCAGTCATGGGAAGGATAATATTTGTCTTGGGTTATGGCCAGATGACAATGTAATGGTCTCATCTGGGTAGTCTAGACCCTTCATACGTGATAAACACTTCCCCAGAATGCATAATTTACTAAAAAGCTCATGTAAAGTACATGCTTGCACCCAGCAGAAATGCTCTCCAGACAGAGCACAGACTGGAAAGCTTTCCTAGCATAAGGGAATAATGATGCCAGAGAAAAAGTTGAACAATAATTTGCCTCAGTTAGAAATGGGACAGTAAGGAATGAGGAGGATCCCCAGCTTTACAAAATGCTCCAAAGAAAACATAAAGTATTCTTCAGAAACAAGTTCAGTGGCAAAACTTTGATGGGAAGATGCTAATTTGCTCTCAGTAGCAGGCCTGATTTTTTCAGCATTTCCCTTTTTCCCCATCTCATCACCTTAAGGCCTCAAATATGAAAGGGCAGAGAAGCCCCAGGGATTTACCAGGTCCTGTCATGGCACATCAGTCATCAAAAGAGCATTCCACTATTTTCATTTTTCTTCCAAATCTACACCATGAGAAAGCTATTCTGTTTTCCAAGTGCATGCAAGCTGTTTTGATGTTTAATTCCTAAAATAAAAGGAAAAAAAAAATCAGAAAAAAATTACTATGTCCTTCCAAATAACACAGTATTTCTACAGCTAAAATCCAGACTGGCTGTGGTTCCGTTTTTATGGAAGCTAATACTGCTCATACATACATCTGTAAGAGCACTGCAAGTGTTCAGGTGTTGTACATCCGTGGAACAAGAAGTGAACGTGGAGTAGAGAGAAGTTCATGGGCACTTCAGTTCACGGGCAGGCCTAGAAAGTGACCTCATGGCAAAATGCATGGCAACATCTGGAGCTGCGTACCAGTGGAGCCTGGTACCCAACGCAGCTGCTTGCTGCTGAGCCACACTGCACACCAATGTCCGTACGAATGTAGGGCACCCGGTGGGGTGGGACATGGAGGCTGAGGAGGCGGCCATCTCTGCTCTGCTGAGGATGAGTCCCACGCTGTTCTCTCATCATTTAGTATTGCATCGGAGCGTAACTTTTCCACTGCACCAAGGATGAATTACAACTCCTTGAAGTGGATCTATCATGGTTATCCACATTTGTCATTTTAGAGGTGTGGGTGGGACACAAAGCGGTACTCGACGGGAGTGGAATGGAGGACGGATTACCACTCTACTGAAGTGGGGTCTGTGCTGCTACCCAAGAATTTTCCAAGGAGAAACAAACCTTGAACACTTCCAAAAGTCAAGACTCTTCCAGGAAAGAAGCCTCTGAAAAACACATCAAAGAGCTAACATCAAATGTCTTCTCAGCTGCAGAATCTGAAAGATGAATTTTAGTAGCTATCTTTCAACCCATCTGATTGGTGCTTCAGAATAAGTCAAAATGCAAAAACGTAAAAGAAACACAAAATGCTCTGCAGAGAAATTCCTGATTTTGCAGTCCTAGTCAGATGGGATAAGACCTTCACTTGTGCTGGCCTAAGAATTCTCAGCAAATGGTGTGCTTCTACTTACAACTAAGTGCACGTCCTTATGTCCCACTGTCTCACTACACTGAATCAGCAGCATTTACTGGGCTCATGCTGATCACACGCTTAGTGCACTTGAGAAGAGTATTCTAAGCAGTGCTGGGATCCAGGCACGATGTCACAGCACCTGGTGGGATAGCTCTTGCCCTTCCTTTCTGTTGGTCGAAATGAGTTTTCTCAAGTATGAAATAATGTCCTCCAAATAAAACTGATACACGCAAGAGGTCTATGCAAAGCCATTCAGGAATCCATAACATGTGGATAAGGAGATGGCTGTGCATAGTTGGGTTGTATGGGTTGTATGAATACTTGTGTGCATTCAGAAGCAGAAAAAGTAAAAAAGGTGCAAAAAGATGGTGTGAAAAGAGGGAACACCTGGGGGTAGGTGGGCAACTAGCAGAAAAGGGGGCTGCATCTGATGTCATTCCGTGGGGATGGCACTACAGGTATCTGATCGTGTTGTCCATTTCTGCTCTGCTACAAGAGTTGAGTAAAAGCTGAGAATATCATGGCTGTTCTGTCATGACCAACGTTGGTGATACCTTAGTTTGCACTAAGGACATGCAGCCTATGCATGTTCTTGGTGTGTGTAGGTATTCCAGAACAAAACAAACAGCCCACAACAAAGACATTTCAGGATTCCCTACTCTATCATTGAAATTCTTTATGTGGGAGCTGTACAAAACCAAGGCAATGTGTAATGGGCATAGGCTACCTCAAGCAGAGGCTCATCTGAAAAGCCTCATTTTCTCATTTTGAAAAAGCAAATTATACATTTAGCAACCACTACAGTGTTTAAACGTCATCCTTTTTGATACCCTGTTGTAAAGCCAGCTTTAACTTCATAGGATGTCCCCTAAAAGTGAACACATGTATCTCCTAAATTTCCTTGTTGAAAGTTGATCAAGTACGTAAGGGTGTTACTGGAAAGGATTTCTCTTTGCTATTTTAAATCCTTTCTGGCTCCTTAAAAAGGCCTTCTTTCCCTACTTCAGTGGTATCTGGAGGCTAACACCCAACCACAGAATCATAGAATATACAATGATTCATGTTCAAACTCCCCTCTGTAGGTTCATTGAGATGAGTGAGCAAATTAAGGCAACAAAAGCAGCTCGTACTGCTTGCTTCCTCTTTTTACTTGGACCCCTGCTTATTTCAGAAATACAACTTCAGTTTGCAAAACTATAAAAATGACCTGTAAAAACAAATCCATCCCCTTCAGAACTATCACGCATTTTCCATGTGATTCCTCACAGTAATTTGAGCAAATAAATACCTTATATTACAGCATTCTTCTTGACAGATCATGCATGAGAAGTGCTTTAGAGACTTTCAGTGGCCTGCACTTAAAACTCTTTTCTCATTACAAATAGGCACAGGTAGGAACGGAATTTTGTTTCTTCTGTAAAATTTTTCTTCTGGGTAGAGGAATCAGGGAGAATCAAACTACTTGGCAACTGAGGCTGTGGAACTAGATACAAAAAGCTTTGCTTTCCCTTTTCTATTCATATGCTATTAAATGAAAGAAGAAACGAAGACAACCTTTAAAGAAAATACAATGCTTTTGGAAAAGATTTCTAAACAGATTACAGCCTTTGTGTCCTGAATTTTCTTGGACCACAAGAACAGTTCTGGAGTTTGGGAGGCAAAGCTGACCACCAGGCCAGCTACAATTTAACTGAATGACTCCCAGCCTCTGCTTTCTGATGCCATCTCATCCAAGTTTCCCTCAGATCTCGACAATGAAAGAGATACCTTTCATTGCAGTTGCAGCAGCACGCTGCTGGCTCTCTGCTATTCTGCTTGTCTGGGGACCCCTTCTCTTTCCTGATGTGACTGAAATACCATTCAGTGGTTATGTTGTAAAACTGACCTGACCTCAGCACATCTGCTAGGATCTATACGCATCTATACGCATCTATACAGATTGCAAATGACTGTGCAGAACCAGAAATCAAAAATGGTCTGATACCAAAACCATAGCATGCTTCTTTCTTTGTGCATTCAAATTCTCATTATATTTACCTTAAATATACTTGCAGAAATCTAAGGCATTCGGCCTACTATGTTGAAACGTTGCTTGGCCTTTTTATTTTTTTTAGTTTACATTAACAACCAGAGAAAATTTACTAACATGCCTTGGAAATGAGAAAACAAATTAAAGCAATGAATAACCTCTATTCCTTAATGCAAATGGAGATAAAATAACGATGTAATATAACGAAGACAAAGACTAATATCTGCAGTAAATATCCTACACTGTAACTTGGAAATGAGGAACCCTTAACACTGTTCTGAATGAAGCATCAGGAAGGAGCTCAGCAACAGGAAGCACGATGCCTCAGATCAACATCCATTTGGGATGAGAAGACTAACATTCAACTAATATTACCTGAAGAGATTTAGTTAATGGTCCGCATTTAAATGCAAAGGCAAATAGCTAGAAAGATGAGTGAATAAAAAATGAGCAAGAATCGGGTACAATGTGCTCATTGTCTTTTATTGATCTCACTATTTACATAACCAACCGGAAAGAAACTTTTTGTTCCTCTCCCAAGGGTACATTTCATTTGTATAATTTGCTCTAAAGCACGAAGTAGATTTATTTACATGAAGTTTACTCCTTTTGCTTTGTTTGCTTGCTTTCCACGAGCCCTAAAAGCACCGCGTCAGCTTCCAACAAAGTCGTATCAGTCGCTGCACCCAGGAACCGAGATGTGAGTTCAAGATCCAGCAGTCTCAGGCGCACTCGGGATCCTCTCTGATACTTGCTGCAAAGAAAAGGGAGAAGTTGAAAAAGCTAAATTTTGTTAAGTAAGGGTCTTCATCTCCTTACAGCTGCTCTCCTGCCCGCAGACTGAAGTAGCAGCCCCATAGCAAACAGTATGTTGTAATGGAACTTAAGTCCGAACCAAAATGCATCAGCACTAAAAGACTGGATTTCTGGTGTAAAGATAAACTAAACACGGAGTTTCTCAAAAACATCGGTGTTTAGTTGTATGTCTCTTTTCCTTTCATGCATACAGTCTTCGTCAAGGCTCACCTGCCACTGAAACTGTTTTCACCAAGAGGAAAGACAAATAGTAGATGGAAAAGCTTTATATACTCAGTGATTGAAAAATTAAGTTGATACACAATAATAACTGTGCAGGAATCTGCTGGGACTTGGTAACATTGCAGAGTTTCTCTTCCTTGACGTAATCCTGCCCAAGGAAGAGAAGACACTACCAAATCCGACTGAAGAGCAGTTATTGTAGAGGAAATTGTGTTTTCTATCAGGTATTTCACTTTACTATCTGGTATCATGCATACAATTATCTGCAGGGCAACACATCATTGAAGGGGAGGACAAGTCATCATTAGGTCAGTGGTGACACTATTATCAGCTAATTTTTCTAACTTTGGACCTCAGGCAAGAAAATTTCTCGTCCCAGTCTCTCTTCTAAAGCTAAACCCCACAACTATTGCCCTGCCTACAGAGTTGTGTTTTCTTTTTCTTTTTTTTCTCCTTTTGTTTGCCCTTTAAGTCACAGAGCTATAGAATGCACTGTGTTGGAAGGGACTCACAAGGATCACAGAGTCCAACTGCTGGCTCCACACAGCACCACTCAAAAATCAAACCCTATATATGAGAGCAGTGTCCAAACGCTCCCTGAACTCCGGCACTCAGTGCCGTGCCCACTGCCCTGTGCAGCCCGTTCCATGCCCACCGCCCCCTGTGCAGACCCTGTCCCTGACCCCCACCCTCCCTGCCCTGACGCAGCTCCATGCCGTTCCCTCGGGCCCTGTTGCTGTCGCACAGAGCAGAGCTCAGCGCTGCCTCTGTGTTCCACCCAACACACTTGAAACACCACCTACTTTCTTAAAAAAAAACCATAAAATTGAAGACATTTATTTGCCCAAAATGTGAGTAAAAACTGCCATGGTGAAGATATGGCACAGCCACCAAAGCCAGAAAACATTTTATGAGGGGTTTGATCAATTCTATCCCTTTGTCTGTTTGCATTTCAAAAGAGAACAGTTTCACAAGTGATTGTAATAATCCATGCAAGCTAACGTGACATTTAAGAATCATAATACAGAGGCAAATCAAAAAAAGACAATGCGTAAGACCCATAAGGATGGAAAGTACCTGCCAGGATTTGCTGGGCTCATTTAAAAGAGAATGTTCCCCAAAGATGTCAGGATGTTTTGCGATAAGGTGGAGGAAGAGAAAAGATTCTCAGTACTTCCTGCAGCCAATGTCCGAAGAGCCTTAAATGAAGATAACTGCTGGCTAGTGGTTTGTACTATTTAGGAAAATGGGCGAAATCTGTAGAAAATTCTCTAGTATTAATCCAAACTCTACCTTCTTTGACAGCTGCTGGCTAGGTGGGGTGCCTTAACATCCAACTGTCAGGCTACCCTGGTCCCTAATACTATCTTTGGCACAGATAACCACACCTGTCTGCCTTCATCACTGAGTGTGAGTAGTGGATGAAGCATGAGAGAAGGCAAACGGTCTAGAAATGAAGGAGACTGTATACAAAGACAATACAAGATTCACTGAAAAGTAGATGGTACATGAAATTATTAAAGCTTGAGTGACACTACATAGAGGGCCATGAACTACAGCATTCTGAGCTGTTTTTGGAAGATAAGGATATGCTTCCAACCAACTGAAACTTAATACTAGAAGCAGTGGGCTTGTGACAAATGTTAAGAGACCAGTAATCCCTCTGCCTTTTGCCTTCTCCCTTCTACAGGGAAAGCAGCTCACCAACAGTGTAAAGTAGATGCAGTTGTGAAACTGTTCAGGGTCCAACACTTTTCTAAGCAATATTGAACTGAATGAGGCTTAGAATGCAATTGGACATCCTCACTATATTTGGCAGTGCAAAGCAAGGAAGACACTGAGTTACATATCTCTAACTGGAATACAAAATATTACTTTCATCATCCAACAGCTCCTTTTGGTCTGTTTGCTAGTCTATAGGGGTGCTTCACAGAATAGATGGAATTATTTTATTCTTATCAAAACTTTAAAAGTGCTATTCAGAAACAGAAAAGCCAATGAAGGAAAGCTGTGCAGAAACTGTGCTTCTCAGAATTCATAAATAAATTAGATTTAATAAAACATATTAAGCACAACACCCCCATTTTAGTATTACAAAAATTTTGTTGTACAGTTTATACAGGACTCTCCTCAAGTTTTCAGACATGACTTCTGCATATATCTGCAAGGAAAATCCAAGCAACTCTACTTTTGTAAAAAACACTACAATCCAGATAACTTTAATCATGCTAAACTCATCTATTAAAGAACATTTTCCAGTCACAGCACATCTGATTACAGAGATCCTGAAGAACATCACTTTAAGAAGCTGACACAGTTGCCAATTTGTGTGAATATAAACATTTAGGTTTATGACAGATGTCCCCTAGAGCTAAAGCGCTTTAGAATAAACAAGAAGCTGTAGATAAATAGAAGAGTGATACAACTTGCAGTGGTGGTCTATCCACCACATTTAGGACAAGATGAAATGATAGGCTGCTCTATGCAGAGTAATCATATTCTATCCACGAAGGTATTTATCCTAAAACAGATAAAACCAGACTACATTTAAAGCAGATGCTTTAAGCAGGACCCAGAAACAACAGCAGGCATTTCATTATTTTCAGAAACTGCATCCTAGTAGACACAGAACACCAATGTAAAAGGAAAGAAGCTGTCTACTCCATTCTGCAAAAGGACTTGCTTTGTTCTTGAGTAACAGTGCTGGCATTCAAGACCATCCTATCTCATGACCATGGGCAGGAACCACTGACCATCGCCCAATCCCCACATGTGGAGCCTGTCAAGGATGCACATGTTTTTCCTCTACTACTTCACAGAGGCAGGTGAAAGCATTAAAATCACTTTGAAGCAAAGAAAATTTGCTTGCATATATATGTATATGCAAGGTATGGTAATATGCTAAAAAATTCTTTTTCAAGTAGTCAAATCTTTCTCTACTTCCATATGTCTTTTTTATAAAACAGTCATCAGAAGAGAATGACGGAACTCAATTCATGGAGACAAAGCACATGGGACAGGTATTTCATTCGGACCCTTATATCCTACAACACTTCTACACGTAACATGCATCCACATGAGAAAGCACTGCTTTTCTCTGCTTCCTCCTAAATGGCACTATCCCAGAGCACAGCTGTTCTCTGAATCTGCTTGCTATCAATCATACTTTATCAACTCCTAACCACCTAGCAGCAGCTTCTTTTTAAAAACAATGCCCAATTTTCTTGCACAGACATACTCCAAAATATAAACAGACACTGAGAGCTGAAAGCCAACCTATTCTTTTCCACTAATAAGCCTTTCCTCACAAGAGCTATCATCTTTAACTCTTTGAGAACAGTTTTTGAGTCAGTTGTGGCTGGAGATACTCCAGCTAGCACCCAGCCTGAGGTAGGAACTCACCATGGCTGGTACCAAGCCATGATCCCGACCCAGGCCAGCAGTGGTAGTGATGTGGGCACCCATTTGAAGTACTCACCAGAAACCTTCACCTGAAATTAAGCCATGGATCAAAGCGTTCCAAAAAGCTTTCTGTAGTTTGAACAAGTACACGCAGGCTTCTCTCCATCTGTTCTGGAGTGGGCAAAATGCTGGGAATAAAGGCACACCTCTCCTCAAGTGTCCATTTACAGAATATGACTTAAGTTGGAGGTCACTCAAATAATTGTTTCAGTGCTTTTTCTTTAGACTGTCATGGAGAAGAAATTTGAGAACTGAGTAGAAAAATCTTCTTTGAACAATAGGTCTATGCAACCATACATCACTGACGTATTAAATATGTAGGAGCAGTGACAAAATGCACAGTGGAGCTTTGACAGCACTGCTTACACTTCTTAAAGACACTTTAAAAGCAAATTAAAAACTAAACATTTATGGCCTTTTATTCCATTGAAAGTAGCGTGGGTTTTTTTTCCTCTGACAGTGCAGAAGTAGCACAGTGTGTGTTTTCAAACCCAAGCAACATGGCAGCTTCCTTGTGACTAACTACAGCTCTTTTATGGCCACCTGGCCCTTACCCTAATCCTTTCCTCTTTCCACTGAAGCTTTACATCTCTTAAAATGTTAATAAATTAAAGGAAACATCCCCCAAGCCCCAGGTCTCTTCAGTAAAGACTTTCAGCTTATAATTTTCACAAAGTAAGTCATTTTAATATGTCCCCTTAAAACGTATTTATAAACTACCCTGACAAGAAATAAAAAGACGTATCTTTACACAGTGAGATTGAAGGGGGAAGGTATGGCATGGCTTATTTCAGCTCTTGCTAACTTTCAAGAAGCCTGGGGAAGGAAATGTTATTTTTTAATATCAAAGTCATTTCTAGCTACAGCAAAGGAGTTAACTTAGAAAGCAATGAGCATGTGAAAATAAGGAGACTGTAACTGAAAAATATTTTTTATCATAATTATACCGTTTGCTACCAGGAAAATGGAAGAGCAGCTTTGCAAGTATGCAGTTTCACGTTGAGGAAGCATCCTCATTACTAAACAGCATCAAGAATTTTATTCACACACTAAATTATAGGTGCAAACATTAAAGTGTTTTGTTGAACTATCCAATATTTAATATTGCGTGTGATCTCAAATTAGCAAGCAGTCCTTTTTCCATTAAAACTACTCAAGTTATTATTTTAAAGTTCAAAGCAACAAACGTTTTGTTCTGGAGAAAGGTGCTTCACAAAGAATACAGTTACAGCAATGGCTGAGTCCCACGGGGTC